ACTCAGGATTGCCATCTCCTGGACTGGCTGGAGAGTGCGGACCCCACATGGCTTCAAAGAGACGTCTTTAAGGGCGCCCGCCGAGCCAAGCTCTTCTCCGCCCTGGCGTTCAACTTTGGCTGGCTGCCAAGCGATCTCAAGTTGTCGTTTCTTGGCTAAAGAGAAAACTGAACCAGTGCCTTTGACTGAACCCAACCGAACACGGAGTTGCGCATGAAACCTGGCAAATTCCTTGCCCCCCCCCCCCACTAGTGTTTGATGAGCTCCAACTTCGTAGTTGCGTGTTCTCAGTGTCATTGAGATGACGCCCAACCATAATCTGAGAATCTACACGACTGTGGTTTCTTTTCGTTTGTGGGAGAATCAAAATAGACCTTGTTGTCTCATCTGGGTGCCAGACTCAGACCCTGCAGGGATCTGAAGAGTGAGGTGCAGAAAGGTGCTGCGTCGCAGTACGAACGGCGCAACAGGCCAGCAGCCCACACGGGGTGGGGCCCCGACGAGATGCACGCCTACACAAAGTACCAACTTCGGCAGTTTGCCCAGAACAAGCTGAAGCGCCGCGCCATCGGAGGCTATAGCTGGCTTTTGCCAGCGAAGAGCTCAACCGGTGAGCCCGCGCCGTTGCCGGATGAAGTGTTGAAGATGGAGAGCAAAGCAAGCGGCTCCAAGCCCAAGCGCGACAAGGCTAAGAGGGAGAGGTCCGACAGCAGTGAGTGTGGCTCACAGAGCTCCAAGTCAAATTGTGAGGCCAAATCCCGCGACTCCAAGCACAAGCGTGACCGTTCACAGCGCGCTGACCGCACCAAAATGTCTAAGAGAGAGCGGCAGGACAAGGCCAGCGAGAGCGACAGCAGTGAGCAACCTCAGGAGAAGAAGCGCAGCCGGCGTGACCGTGACACTGGGAAGCGGAAGAAGCGTGCACAGACCGACTCCCAATCCCCAGCCCAGAGCAGCTCCGAGTCGGCCCACCCCGCCTCAACCACGACCAAGACAACGCCCAGGGTCGCCGGCTCTCCTAAGATGCTGAAGGGCATGCAGAAGCAAGGCAGGAAACAAGAGTTTAACAATATTCGTACTCCTGCATCAGTTCTCAGTTTGCCTAGTTTGCCTTCTGGCTCATGTGATCGAAAGTGGCATTTTCTCTTGCGCCCCGAATTGTTGGAACGCCCCCCGACTCTTTAAGCAAGGAGTTTCCCTGCCGTCTGTAAGACCCTGTCGCTGTTGCAGCTGTCGGTCACAAGCACTGCGGCAGCCCTTTGCAGGACACTGCGCATGAGAAAACTAAAAAAAAACGCGCTCAGTTCAGGGACACAGGAGTGAACCAACACCAATCGACTCTTTGAACCCTTGTTTGTTTTGCCCCCCCCATTTACAATTTGGTTTGCCCCAACGAGCCAACATGCGCTCAAGATGTATGTTGAATTCACAGAACCCAGCAAAGTTTGCCCACCATTTCGTTCAATCCAGCTACGGACAGGGGTGCCTAAGGCAAAACTGATGACCCAAAGTCAACTAATTTAGAAACATTCTCCCTTTCAATGGTTGATGGGTGACCGGGCACAAACAGATGGCCACCGCTGCTGTTGCAGGCAATGTTGACCAACCTGTTCTTCAAGCCCCCGTAGATGAGGTTCCCGACGACGATGAGGTGGGGTCCCTCTTTTCCGATGATGACCCCCAAGCGGACGAGTCGCCAAAGATTGAGCAAGTCTCGGATGGCAACTCAGCCCTGGTTTCGAAAAGGGACGGCAAAATGCTGGTCTTGCCTTCCAACGAGTCGTGGAAGCTTGCCAAATCGGTTACATCGTAAGCTTGCGCTTTTGGCAAACACTGTGATGTTTATCAATCCAAAAAAAAACACCTGGCAAGTCAACTGGCAGTTTGGGCCACCCAGGAAAATCTGCAAGGTTGCCGACAAGAACGGGACCACTTGGCTTTTGCAGTGCCAGTCGGACCCCAAGAAGTACCCCCCTCGGAGCGTTGCAAAGGCATTGCAAAGCAGCCGCGCCAAGGGACTTGCAGAAGTAACGCACTTCAGCTTAGCGAAGTTTATTTTCACCCGTTTCCAATGAGTTGTTTTGAGCTAGTCGCTTACCCACTGACCCAAAACAATACTTTGCTAAAATATTGAACATCAACTTGCAGCTAGCTACCCGCCCAGACCCCAGGTCAAGTGCCCAGCCTGCGAGCAAGATGGCTCCAAGCACTTCCACGCCCGCCGCGGGCGAAGTGCCTTGCAAGGAGAAGGGTGAAGAGCCCAAGCCTGAAGAGGCTGCGGCAGTTGAGGAACCAGGGAATCAACAGAAACAGGGCGACGACAACCTGGACAAGACCTTGGAGATTGACTTGAACAAGGCTCCGGACAAGATCTCGGAGGCTAAACAGGACAAGATCTCGGATACTCATGCTGACAAGACCTTGGAGGCTGCCGGTCTGGGAGCTGCTTCTGATAAGACCGCGCCTCTGGCCAAGACTACAGCGACCAAAGCAGACGAGACCAAGCCGAAGGCCTCCAATAAACCTATTAGAACCAAATTGAAGAAGGGGGACATTGACACGCTGCTTCCATGAGCCACTTGAGTGATCCAAAGCGCAGCCTTCTGAGCATATGTTGGCCCCTATGTTGACCGTGTTTTGAGCAAAACTAGCCAACATCAAGCCAATGTGAGCTCGCTCCCCATCAGTTCAAAAATAAGGCCCAAATAAGGCCCAAATAAGGCCCAAATAAGGCCCAAATAAGGTCCAAATAAGGGCAACCCCCAACGGTATTTGCAGATTTCAGAAAATAAGGCCCAAATAAGGTCCAAATAAGACCCAAATAAGGCCCAAATAAGGGCAACCCCCAACGGTATTTGAAGATTTCAGAAAATAAGGCCCAAATAAGGCCCAAATAAGGCCCAAATAAGGCCCAAATAAGGTCCAAATAAGGGCAACCCCCAACGGTATTTGCAATATATGGCCAACACAAAACAACCAGCATGGGTTTAACTTTGCGTCTGACTTTAGGAGGGTTTTAATCTCAACCCCAACATTCTGTTGCAATGCGTGTTCGGTGGACAGGTTGCTTGACTGCCTGTTGACTGAGTGACTAAGTGACAGACAAGTATACGGTTTGAAGGATTAAATGTTGGCTTTGTTCATTGGTTGGCCATGCATTCCATCATACCGGATTTTGCCTGACAGCAAATCAGCGGACTTTATTTTGGTCGCGAAGGCGCTTCGGGAAAACCGCTTGCAAATCTCCTGCCTGCTGAGTTCTGCGACTTGTTGGCGTAGCTGGTTGATTGAAAAGATTGCTACGTGGCTTCAGATGGATTGTGCTTGGGTTTTTTTGAACGCTCCAGGCTTGATTTGTTTGATTGGGTGGGTGGGTGAGTGGGTGGGTGCGTGGGTTGGTTGGTTGGTTGGTTGGTTGGTCGGTTGGTTGATTCGTTGGTTGGTTGGTTGGTTTTGTTGATTGATTGACTGACTGACCGATTGATTGATTGGTTGGTTGACAGAGGGGTTTGCTTGATTGATTGACTGATTGATTAATTGATTGATTGATTGATTGATTGATTGATTGATTGATGGATTGATTGATTGATTGACTGATTGAATTGGTGAATTGCTTGCTGGATGTGGTTTGATTTGGTTTCATTCGATTGATCGCTTGGTTGATTGATTGATTGATTGATTGATTGATTGATTGGTTTGATTGATTGATTGATTGATTGAATTGATTGGTTTGATTGATTGATTGGTTGATTGATTGATTGATTGATTGATTGATTGACGGATTGATTGACGGATTGATTGACTGATTGATCGATTGGTTGGTTGGTTGGTTGGTTGATTGATTGATGGACCGACCGACCGACTGCCTGCTTGATTGGTTGGTTAGTTAGTTATCAGCTGGTTGGTTCGTTGGTTGGTTGCTTGATTGGTTGATTGACTTGCTCTCTGATGGCTGGTTGGCCCATTTACTGCTTGATTGATGGTTGATGGGAGGCTGGTTGCTGTAGTGCTTGATTGTTTGATTCCCTGATTGTTGATTGACGATTGTAACTGCCTGATTGGTTGCTGGGTCCGTTGGCGAGGTGAATGATTGCTTGATTGATCTGAATAGCTTTGCTTTCGCTTGAGCTGAGCTGATTTGATTTTTGTAGTTTAGTTGATTGCTGATGAATTAATTTGTTGATTGGTTGGTTGATTGACTTACTGGTTGAATATTAATTGCAAAAAATGGAAATTGTTCAGGAAGAGCAGAGAATGAACGGATTGGTTGTTTGATTGATGGATTGATTGACTGACTGATTGGCAGACTGCTTGCTTGATTGATTGGTTGAATGACTGACTGACTGCCTGACGGACTGCCGGAAAGGCTGATTGAACGATTGCGCGACGTGGCTGCTTGATTGACAAGATAGCTAAATAGACACCTTAAGTAAAAACAGCTAGATAGATTCTGTGATTGCCTGAACGAATGGTGGATGGCTTGACCTGAGTGCTTGATGTGGTTGATATTGGCTGTTTGGTTGCTTAGTTGGCTGGTGGCTTGGTTGGTTGGTTGGTTGGTTGGCTGGTTGGTTGGTTGATTGATTGGTTGTTTGGTTGCTGATTGGCTGGTTGATTGGTTGGTTGATTTACATGACTCAGTGACTGGTTCTGCTTGCCGGATTGATTGCTTGGTAGATTGATTGATTGATTGATTGATTGATTGATTGATTGATTGATTGATTGATTGATTGACTGACTGACTGATTGGTTGATTGCCTGACTGACTGACTGATTGATTGATTGGTTGTTTGATTCATTAATTGATTGCTTGATTGGTTGATTGATTGATTGTTTGATTGATTGATTGATTGCTTGATTGGTTGATTGATTGATTGATTGATTGGTTCATTGTTTGATTTTGTTTGGTTGATTGGTTGCTTAATTGGTTGGTTGATTGATTGATTGATTGATTGATTGATTGATTGGTTGATTGACTGATTGAATGCTTGAATGGTTGAATGATTTTTGGTTGACTGATTGATTGATTGGTCGGTTGATTGATTGATTGGTTGATTGGTTGACTGGTTGATTGATTGGTTGATTGATTGATTGATCGATCGATTGATTGATTGTCGATTGATTGATTGATTGGTTGATTAATTAATTGGTTGGTTGATTGATCGGTTGATTGTCTGAGTGATTGATTGGTTGGTTGATTTTTTTTATTGATCGATCGATTGGTTGCTTGATTGGTTGGTTGGTTCGGTTCGAGTTGGTGTGATTTGCCTGATTCACCGACGGATTGGTTGATTGCTTGCTGGATTGGTGTGTTTTTGATGGGTTGTTTGGGTTGGATTGACATTGGAATGATTGATTGGCTGGTTTGATTGAGTTAGTGAGTGATTGACTGATTGACTGATGGATTGTTTGATTGATTGCTGGCTGACTGACTGGCTGACTGATTGACTGGGACGGACGTTTGGTTGGTTGGTCTACGCGTTGTGATGTAGTGTTTGGTTGCCTGGCTGAGTGGTTGACAGATTCCCTGACTGCTTGCTTGTCGGTTGTTCGGTCGAAGTTGGACTAGGTGTTCAGGTTGGAGGCCGTTAGCTTGCGAGGCTTCAGGGGTGTGAAGCTTTTGCCTGTTCGCTATTTCAGCTACATTATTGCAATAGGGCCCCCCTGAATTCCTAAAGCAATCGTGTTTTCAAAACACGACCTTTTCTTACGAAAGACTGGTGCGCTCAGAGAGGAAGTCTTAGATGAACCAGTCGAAGGCCAATCAAATCCAGTGAGACAGCCCTGCAGGCAACTGCTAAGGTCTGCGCTTGGGTTTTAACTTGATGGTCAAAAATAACAGCGGAATCTTGGCAAGCAGTAATAAGGGTGGGGCTGCATGGATGTTGAGTGAACGGCCTGTCAACGGCGGCGTGGCGCCGTCAGTCAGCTCAGCAGCTCACCTCGCATGAGCCAATGTCAGCTCAAATCGAAATTATGTGTGAAGTGTCTGGGTTTGATCTGCACTGGGCCCATGTTAGCCGTGGCTGCGGGAGCTGTTTTACAGTGACTTGAGGAAGCCCTGAGGTAATTCTGTTTTGTGGTTTCGTACTCGAACAGCTCAGTTAAATCAAAGCAAACAGCTGTTTTAGCAATATACTGTTATTCGCCTCTTCGTGGCTCTTTGACCTTTCACATGCAATATTGACCTGTTGAATCGGCTTCCAAATCCAGTCGCTGTCAATCCGAGCGTCTGGCCTCTCTATGACTTATGATCACGATGTGGTCATCCTGGAGCGCACGTCCGCTGCGCTGCCATGAGACGGTCGAGACAAAAGAAACACGTGTGACAAGCATTCCTTGGGTTGACTTGGCTTGGGTGTGTCTTTTTTCTTGAACCTCCAGTAATTTTTGTGGTTTAAGCTAAAAGGGAAACGAAAAGGCAACCGCCCGTTTTGGGGCCTGTCACACGCTGTGTTGTTAACTTCAACTTCAGAGCTCAAGCAATTCACTAGTGAGCCACAGCCAAAAAATGTCTGGCATCATGCAGCCCAGCGGCCAGACAGGTCATGCTCATGATGGCAATGTTCGCAGCTCCGCTGCTTGCACGCCACCTCGCCGGATTCGACGCCAAATGGGAAGCCCAGCATGGGACACTATCATTGATGGCTCTGACTCATTGTCAACAAATGCGGCCAAGAGCAATGGCACCTCTGAGGGGCCCAGTTCAAACTCCCAGGGGTTGGATGTCGAGCTGGCTGAGGATCGTCCTGATAAGTCTAACCCTCCTGTGCAAAGCAAGAAGTCAGGGCCCTACGATTCTTCGCCGCGGTCTCCTGTGATCCCACTCCATGTGAGACTTTCGCAAAAGACCCTGCCTGGCTGTTGGCCTGCGGGTGGCAGCGATGTGGCCCGTCCTGTGCCAGGAAACGCTGTGACGCCACCACCTTCGACCCAAGCGATCCCTGCAGCAACCCCTCCGAGCTCAAGAAAGGGACCGCAGATGCCAAAGAAGACCATTGCCAAGCAGCGTGAGGTCAAATCCCATAGGTCTCACTGAGCGTGCCCAAGTCAGGGCGTAGTTGCTTGAGTTGTGTTGAGCCTTTATTTGGTTGATAGACCCAGTTTCAAACCACAGGGTCAGTCAAAACTCAATGGGAGGGGAGGAATCTTAATCGATGCTGTTCACTCAGTTATGCTGACTGTCAGCCTCGGCGCTGAACATGCGCATTCAGACGGCAGAAGTAGCCAGAGAGGAGAAAATAGGCACGCGTGGCAACGTCACACTTGCCCTGCAACAGCCTGCTTCATTCCGAACTGGCAAGGAAGTGAACGCCTGTTTTGTTCGTTTTAGTTTGCACAGCGCTGCCCAGGTCCTTCCAAAAACTGTGGCGGAGCATCTTGACGGCGCAAGCGTCCTGCGGCTGGGGGCCAAGTCTACGAGTAGTGCGTAGAAACACGACATGGCCGTGCCAAATTACCCCCGCCCAGGCCAAAACTGGGGGCGAGAGACGCAGTTTGCTTTTTCGCTTGCTCCTCAGTTTGCACGCAAGGTGTTCTCAGTGGACAGTCACATGTGAGCTTCTCAGTCCTGAATGATTTTCACAATCCAGGTTGTGACTCAGTGGCGGGTTTCCCGAATTAGTTGTCTCGATTCTGTTCTTTCTCTTTTCTAAACCAGTCAGCCAAATGCCAAAAAACAGTGTAGCGGGAGAACGAACCAGATATCGACTTGCAATGAGTTCCCTTCAACATGTTTGTGGAGAGGGGTATTGCTTTGTCAGTGAGGTCGGCCTTGTGTACTGAAGGGTTCCCTCATCAAGCATCCTATGTCCAATCTTGAGGGATCAGTCAATAAAATAGAAATCAATCAGAGAAGTTGCTTGGGAGTGGCTACGCAGATAGCCACACAAGTTCGGCTGCGAGAATGCGGGTGTGTCTCAGCTCTGCATGATAGGAAGCACGTAGAAGTTTTGGATTATTGTTACGCGGTGACCTCAACACCTGCCCAACGCTAGCGCGTACCTGATGGCGAAGCAGGTAAACCGCACCGTTGTTCAGCAATGTGAAATTGCGTGTGAGTAGTGAGCAATAATCTACTCGGGTCAGTCAATGAGTCAAGAAAGATGTGCAGCTCTGAGACAAGCGATTTCAACCAAGGTTGCTAAACAAACCTTAACACGCAAACCTTGCACTTACCGCATGATACTGTTCAGTTCAACATCAGCCTGTCTCAATTTCGCGCAAGCCCCGCCCAAACAAACCGACGGGTGACACGCGCAGGACTCTTTTTTCGGGGAACCCCGTTTCACACCAAAACTCTTTACCTCTTTGCAGACCCCCCCCCACAGCATTCTGCTACCTAACTGGGTTGGTGCGAGAGCGCGTTGCTTCAATTGGCGGCTGATCCCCGCTCCAGCATTCCCATGTTGCCACCTACCCCGTCTGCTTGCTGCTTGCTTGGCTTGGCTTGCTTGCTTGGCTTGGGCTTGCTGGCTTGCTTGAGTTTGCTGGCTGGCTGGCTGATTGGTTGGTTGTTTGGTTGGTTGGTTGGTTGCCTGGTTTGGCGGGTGGTTGGTTGGTTCGTTGGTTCCTTGCTTGGGATGGTTGATTGGTTGGTTGGTTGGTTGCTTGGTTGGTTGGTTGGTTGGTTGGTTGGTCGGCTTTGCTGCTTGCACAGTCTGCTTTGTTGCCTTTTTGGCTTGCTAATTAAAATATTTGCCTGCGTCCTACTTAGTTACTTGCTCGCTCGCGCGCTGGCTTCTTACCGTTCCCTGCTCGCTCGTCCGTTTGCGCGCTTGCTTTACTTAAGTTGTCACTGGGTTCCTGGAATGCCTTCGCTTCTGCCTGGCCGGCTGGCAAGCAGGCAGAGGGATGTCTTGGCTGGGTTGTTCTTGGCTTTGTTGCTGGCTCGCAAGCTGCTTTACGGAAGAGTTGTTATCAGCGCATGTTGACTGCTTCTTGCAAGTTTGTTTCAGTGTCCTCTTTGGATATGAATATTTGACGCGGGACGCGTGCGTGGTTGTGCGCATTTTGCATTTTGGTCAAAACAGTCAGCGGGAAAGAGTGCCTCCATTTTCTCAACTGATCCGATTGCTAGTTACGCTGGGTGCGTGCGCGTGTGTTTGTAATGAAGGCGCGTGCCAAGGCCAACTGATTATCAAACGGGTGCCTCGTGCGAACACGATTGAAACTGGGACAGGTGGTGGTGAAGGCGCTCAACCACATCCTCGTTAGCATGGCGAACAAGAACCTGGCTTCCTTTGTCCCTGACTGGGTCAAGGGCGACCGTGACAAGCTCAAGGGGAAGGGCATGCTGAATCCTGATCTGAAGCTTCCGCCAGCGGACGAGGCGCCGCTCCTGAGACTGGACGCTTGGCTTGCAGCAGTCCCAAGAACTCAAACATCCAGCGCTACCTTTGTTTGACCTACTTTCTCACCAGTCTGCTGCTGGCAAGCCTGACAGCCACGTCAGTCAGGTATTTCAAACTGGTCCATTTAACCAAAATCAAGTGTCGTTATCTTGTTACTTGAGTCCAGCAATAACCCCCGCCCAAAACACATTGCCGTTGAACAAACGTTCACCGACACTTTAGACAGACAGCGTCGTATTGATTTTCTCACATGTTCAGAGTTCCAGGTTGCAACCTGTTGACGTTGTAGCGGGTTTCTGACTGACCCAAGGCACACAAGCGTAGTAATCTCCTTCTGCAAAAAGAAACTTCTGATTGACTTTTTGGTGACAGAACTGCGCCTGAATCAACTCATTCAAGTCATTAACTCATTGACCTGCGCGGCGCAACTCCCACTAAGCCCTGTTATGAAACTTTACTGTCTCGCCCATTGCTTGAGTTAAGGGCGCAAGGGTTCCAGTCACTGCAAGAATGCTACACCCATCGGGGACCGGCAAAAACTGAATTTGTTTGAACTCCGTTTCTCAGGGCGCTCATCATTGTGGATTGCCAGTGTGAGGTTGGTTGAGCTGTTTTTGGGTTCTGCGCGGACCGAAATGAAAATGGAACACATCAGCCAAGCTCCCACTGTTACAAACACACGCCTACCTGGGCCAGGGTGGAATGCACATGCGTAGTTTGGCAGTAATATTGTTTTGTCAGTACTGCCCCGCCAGCGCATCGCGTCGGTGTGATTCAAGGTCTCCGACGAGGAGAAGGTGCAATTCAAAAGTTTTCATTTTCTATTCAGCCACGTAGGCTGTCGTGGCTTTTGTGAGCCAGAACATTCCCATCCACTTTGGAATGCGACAAAACGAGCACTTCGAGAATGTGACCTTGATTTGGCAGTTATGAAGCTCACCATTGTGTGCAATTTTGGTCATGGTGCATTTTGCACTGGCGACAGGTTGCTTTCTAGGCAAGAGTATTTGCACAAGTACTTGCAAAAGCAGGATGCTGCTTATTTCCAAGAAATCGCTTTTGAGATTGCCCGTGACAACGATGAGCACCACCTTGTTGTAGATGAAGATCACGCAGCATCTTTAATTGAGGACTTCATGAACGCACCGTCAATCAAGAATCGAGGGTTGTTTGCGCCTGGCTTACAATTTGTTGCAAGGTTTTTTCAGCTTAAACGCTTCCAGAAATTTCGCAAACGACTTTTATTTAGATCAACTGTGTGATGATTGTTTCTTGAGCCCACTAGGTAAAGAACAAGGCGTGGTTTGGCATGATGAATGCTTTCAGGGCGGTTCTGTCCGACTGGACGGTGCTTCGTGAAGCGTCGTGGGCAATTTTGCATGAGAGCGGCGGAGCTGTGTCTAGGCGCATTGTCTTGGCAGGCGTTGCCACATTTTGAGTTTTCGTGTAATTGTAGCGTTGCCAACTTGCAGTAAGACCAGTCCTGACTACCACATCTACAGTCTAAGAGAACAACTGAAGTCATTAAAATCTCTTGACAGTTTTATTGAAACCCTCAATACAGCGGCGGTTGCCGGCAAATCAGCAAATCAAGTCACCAAGTCTGCGGGCCAAGGTAGACAATGATGAGGAACTTCCGGAGCGCGCAGACGAAGCCGCAGATGGTCCTGAGGATGGCAACCAGGAGAAGCGGTACACTAAGGCAGACCTTTACAAAGCCTACAAAGGCAAAGGGCCTTACAGGATGAACGCTGATTTCCTAAGCGACATCCGCTTGAGGGCGTTTGCAGCCGCAATTGTGTTTATCACTGACCCTCTCCAGCAGTTTTACCACAGGGGCTTGAAGGCATACAGCGGCAGCCCGCAGGGTATGATTGACTGGATTGCGCGCCGGGCTGCCGGCGAAACCATGTCTACTGCAAACGCGATTCTGCAAGTTCTTACTGACCCAAGTTTGTACGCAGCAATGAGGCTGACTCCTGCCTGTAACCCCCCCGTAGACATTTCAAGCCCTTGCTTGGCTGACGACATTGAGCTGGCAAGCAAAGCCGTTGACTTCAGCGTTTGCTTGGCTTCAAACTATGCTTGGGGGCAACTTCTGTATCAGTTTACCCTTCCGCTGGCATGCGCAACGCTTTTGATGGCTACAGAAAATGGTCGCAAGGAGGGCATGGGCAAGTTGAAAGAGCTGGTTGAATCAGTTATGAAAGCAGAAGAACATGTAAAAGGCAAGGCGAAGTCAGCCCTTGCTTCCTGCTTGCGAGACCTCGGTTGGACCGAGGAACCGCTGGCTAGAGAGTTCATGGTGAGATTGCTGAGGGCAAACTTTGAGCTGGACAATCAGGAGGAGTACCAAGCACGCCGGCTTGCCCTCAGGTGCTTCTTGGGGAGTTGTTCTACAAAAGAAATCCTCGAATCAGTTTTTGCTGACCTGCAAGACGCTGCTTCCAGAACCTGCAAAAACAAGAAAATCGCAAGCCACGCAGTTTGGTTCTACGCCTCAACATCAAAATATGTGAATGCTTCTGGTATGAGCCAGCTATTGCCAGACACTGGAGCATGGGTGAGATGGCGCAAACAGTTCAGCAAGGAGAGGTCTGAGCTGCAAAAGAAGTTCAACAATGCATTCAAGATTTCCAGCACTGAGCTCCCCACAGGGGAGGACATTCACATCCCTGGTTCGGCGGCTGGGGTGAAAAAGTCTCAGTGGAGGAATAGTGGGCCATTGAGCCACTACCGAGCGTCGGCTGCAGCTCTTTATCTCATGGCTGACTGTCACAATGAGTTCAAGCACTGCAGTATGGCGTGGGCAGGACTGCACCGCCTTGTTTTCATTGGAAATCTGCAACCACTCTGTTGAGGTAAACGTTTTCATGGGGGCATGCTTTTCCTTACTATTGTACCTCTCCGAAGTCCCCAACACCCTCGAAGCTCCCAAAACCCTCGTCAGGAGTCCTCCTGTCTCGCGGCAGCGTTTTCTTCCACCGCAAGGAGCGTGAGCATTTCCTGTCGCTTGGGTTCAAGCAGTGGTGCTGTATCGGGGCACGGTTGACTTGCGTCAAGGTCGGCAACAAGGACAGGGGGGAACATAGTTTACATTGTTTAGAACAAGGGGAAGCCGTTCTAGGGTTCCAGGCAAACCCTTGAAACATTGTCAGGCCCACCGGTGGTGTTTTTTGACAAAGGGGGGTTGAATTCCCCAGCCGTTCTAGGGTTCCAGGCCCACCAAGGCTCTTTAAACATTTTTAGACCCACCAGTGAAATAAATATTTCTTCAACAACTCTTTAGAAAAAGGGGGGGTTGAACGCCCAAGCCGTTCTAGGGTTCCAGGCCCACCAAAACGCTTGAATCAATTCGGTGAGTTATTTTTCCAACTCCCCGAGTTGAATTGATGACAAATAATAAGCGCAAACCTTTGACCAGGAGTATTTGGCAATGAGCTCTGATTCAGACATCCTTGAAACCATGTTCAACTACACGGTGTCCCAAACTCAGCCTGTCTGGACCCACGTGACCGTTCAGATCGTGCCTCCTGCAGCTCTACCACCTGAGATGGCCCACTTGGGGTGCTGTTTTGAGATTATGCAAAAAGACCAGTGGGTCTTGAAACAAGCGTTGCGAAAAGGAGTGGACATGACTGTCCCTCAGCTTGAGCAGACGTGCAAAAGCCTTGGAGTTGAGTTGCCAAGCAAAGGTCTTGGATCTGGAAAGAATGGCGGCATCGTCAGGCTTGACTACATCAAAGCTCTCGTCAGGCACGTGCTTGCAGGGGTCCCTGAGTCAGAGCAAAACCAAGTGGTGGCACTGATGGGTGGTCAAGTGCAAAAAGAGGTTGACTTGGGTGTTCTCGCCTGCGTGTCGCAACTTGACACGCAAAACCAAGAGGCCTTCTCTGAGCTGAAGAAACAAGCCTTGGAATCTTACGACGATGCTCTCTTTGGAAAAGGGGCTGCAGGCAGATTGGAAACAATGACTAGGTCTGAGCTTCAAGCTGTGAAAAAACAAGTGGATGAGCGAGTGTCGAAACTGGAGGAAGGGCAAACGGCCCGAAAACATGGCGAAATGATCAGACTCTGGAACCTGACGCCAAGCGACCTCAAGGCGCTGCTTCCAGGCGGCGGAGCCATCATCGGCATGTTTTGGGCAAGGCATCACCCCTATGATAGGTGGTGGCGAGTGGAGTACCCGCTCGGCCGCTCGCCTGACCGTAGCTGAGTGTTTGCTGGTGGGATTTCTGCAAACGGTTTTTCTTTGACTTGGCCTAGTTTTGATTTGACAACACCTGTGCTGTTCTTTGTTTGTAATGCTCGGGTTCAACGAGGATTCAACAAATGTAGAGGTGTGTTTGTCGGTCCTTGTGTGTTTGCCTAGAAAAAGTTCGACTCATGAGTCATTCGCGCTGTCTACCTTAGGCAACCCGCTGGAGCGTGACAGTTGCCAGCGTCAGTGGCCAACGAGAAGGTGTCCGCAGAAGATTGATGCTCTGAGAGAGGTTCTTCGCTTTGCTTACAATCGGTGGAACAAACTCAACCCCGGGGATCAACACAGAATGTGCCTGGGTTGCACGCGAGTACTCAATGGTTCAAAGCCCAGAATTGTTCACATCAGTCATTCCGTCCATCGTGCCAACTCAGGCCAGACGATGCCAGATTGCAGGAGTATCTCGATCACATGGCTGAGTGAATGCAATGAGCGCCACCAGGAAGCGCCACCAGGAAAAAGTTGCAACTGCGCTTGACTTAATGAAAAGGGTCTACATGGCAGGGTCCGAGTTGGGTCTTATTTTAGCCCCAGTCAAACTAACTTGGGGGGGGGGGGTAGTCAGCCAGGGGGTACTTTAACATTCCATGATTACGAGCATCGTCCCTCCTCCTGTCGCGATCATCCTCGCGCCGCGGACGGTATCTGCGCCTCCTCGACTCTCTGGAATCCCTGGTGTCCACGGTCCTAACGGACCTCCGAGAAGGAGTACGGGAAACATCCGATTCCCTACGCCTCCTCCCAGATCGAGAGTTCGTCACGATCTGGTTGAGAGCCTCCAGTGCCGACGCGTCCTCACCATTCCTGATGAAATCCCTGACCTGCTTGTTCAGCACTTTGTTGGTGGAGATCGACAAGAAAGCGTCCACCACCGAACTCTCAGGCAGCACCAGAAAGTGACCCTCCACCGGGCTCGCCGCGGCCCGCTCAGCAGACTGCAGCCGGATCTCCCCGCCTTCAGGCTTCTTTGCCATCGCCTTGGAGGCAGTCAAAGGCGCTACCGCATCCTTTGCCGAAGATCTGCCAAGCGCGGAGTGAAGATCATCCCCGCTAGCTTCTCTCGCTGCCGCACCTGGTCTGCTGTCGACGTCGCCAGGCCTCGTGGGCGCCTCCCGCTTCGTCGGCTCCTTCGCAGCCTCGTCGGGATCCCAACGGGATTTCCTTTCTCTCTTCTGCCCTTCGGCCGACCCGCGGCTACTGCCGGGAGCGTCACCTCCGCCTGTCTTCTCCTTCTTGACCTCAACCTTCGGTTCGGCCTGCTTCGTCTCCTTAGCCACAGCTTTTGGAGCCGGAGCACTCTTCGCCTCAGATGCTGAAGCAGCCTTCCCTCTCGGCTCGGCCTTAGGAACCGGGGTCACTTTAGCCTTGGCACTCGGCCTGGCCCCTTCAACCACCATCTCGGCCCAAGACTTCTTCGGCTGAGCTGCTGCTGCATCAACCTCCATAGGAGCAGGTCCAGCGTCATCCTTCGCCTTTGGGACGGATGGGCTACCGCCCTTACCGGATCCTTTACCCGGCACTTCACCTGACTTTGGTGGCGGGCCGGAAGGACTACCGCCCTTACCGCCCTTTTCCCCCTTTTTCCCTTTTCCTTTTCCGCCCTTGGGGACCGGCTCCTGCTTGGGACCAGGACCCGGCGCAGCATGATGCACCGATTGGAGTCCCTCGATGTCCACGTTCAAAGGTTCGGGTTGACGACCGACAAGAACCGTCCTCACCCTTTCGTCACTAACGTAGACGAACGGGTCACGGAAGGGTGCGGGAGGCTCCGACTGTCCGGCGCTGATCGCCTTCTGCACCTTGGCTATCGCCTCCTCCAACCTCTTCTTCTCATCGTACCCCGTCTCCGATACCATGTACTTCCTGAGCTGCGAAATCAACGCATGACTCTCCAGGATGTCCACGTCCTTTCGATGGGTCGGGTACAATGGGGTCAGATGACCAGCCGCGGAACCAATCACGTAAGCCATCGGAATATAGAATGACAAGTACGTGTCATGACGAGCGAACTTCCTAACGGAAGTCGTCATACGCCTACCCCACTGAGCAGCGTGTCTTGGGTTGGCCCGGAAGTACTCCGTGACCGACTCAAATTTATCGACTTGGTTGGTCTTGATCAGGTGCTTCGCCACCCACTTCTCCACAAACGCATCCGAGGCCGAAATCCCGGACACATAGGAGAATTGGAAGAGCACCTTCGCCAGCTCATCCCACGCCGCATCGACACCTCCCTTGTCTTCACCAAGATAAGGGGGAAGTCTGATGCCGCTCTGCACCGTCATCCTCAGATCGGATGCCATTGAATAGGAAATCAAATTCCTCTTGATGACTCCGACCACTTCGGAGGGGATCCTCCTGGGCTTGAACTGCCCCATGGTCCTCACCCATTCCGGCACGATGTGGCATCTTTCGAAGTCCTTTTCCTCCGCGTTGGGGATAAAGTTCGGGTAAAAGACCGGGAGCGCGCACCCGGGACACAAGTGCATCCCATTCGGCATCAATTCTGCGCACCTCAAGCAGAACGTGGCAGTCACATTCAGCCTGATCTCTTCCCGTGATCGCCTGTGCTCTCCCCTAACGGGGGTGAAGTCACCGTAGTCCCAGGCCCGATGGTACACTATCGTGTAATCATCGTACATATACGCCGCCTTCCAAGCCCCCATGTGGATCTCGTTCCTAACGGCAAGAGTCTTCCTTCTCGTCAAAAACACGGGTCCAACCAAGGACCAGTGCACCCGAAGATCCACCATTACCACCACGTATCTACCGGAGTAGTTCCGCAGCCTGTCCCTGACATACCACGAAGGCGATACCTCAGCATCCGGCGCCATGGCTCCCACAAGTGGGATCAGGCCCTCATCCTGTCTACCATCCCCAATGGTCTCGTACACATCGGGCCTCGTGATCAATATCTCGATCATGGCCTTTCCATTTCGCCTCACCCTTTGGAGCTGAACCGCCTTCCGAAAGTCCGAGAACTTCATGATGACGTATCCCACCATGGGGAGTTCATTCCAATGCATCTCATACATCAGAGATCCGCCACGTGCATCTTCCTGAGTATACCTGTGCCTAACGGCACTGTAACTCAAGTCGCGTCCGATCCGCGTGTGCCTAACGGCAACCAACCTGGTGCTCTCTTTGAGGAGAACGCCATCCCCGTCGTACATGACCATGAGCATCGCCTCCACTTGCCCTATCGGGAAAGCTTTGAGCGTCGGAATGAAGAACTTCCAAGACATCTCAGCGTTCTCCATACCCGAAATCTCCTTCAGGAACCAGATGGCCTGGTCACTTTTCACCCAGTTTCCAGCCTCACGTCCGGTCTCCTTCAGCACACGCTCCTCGAATAACTCCGAGACTCTCTTTGAATTGATGACCAAACCGTCGAAATCGCACGAGAGCAGCCTCATCAACTCCTTCGCCGCCTCCCGTCCTGCAACAGTGCCCACGGTCTCCTCGTAGTTCGGGAGGTATTCGCCCAACCTCGTCTTCGAGGGAACCACAATCTGGCAAGTGACGGCCTCATCAGGGATAACTCCCGTTTCCCTTAACTCTGGATTGATCTCTCGCCTATCGGCAAGATAATCCTCCTTCCCATCCAGTATCACAAGATTGTAGGCCATCTTGCTCGCCGCCCCACTAGGCCTGAACTTCCTGCTATCATCCAACTGGTCAGGAGCAAAAGGTCCACTAGGGGCGGCCGCACTCACCAGAGGCGCTCCTCGCCCAGAGCAGAGGTGCTTCTTGTGAAAGTTCACCATCTGATTCAGCTGCGATAGTGCGTAGGCACGATCCTCCAATGACGCACTCTTCATCCCGGCCTCAGTCAGAGGAGCCTCAGGCTTGTCATAACTCGCCTTACCGCCCCATCTCGCCGCGACCA